CTATGCTCTGCCCAAGAGGTCACATCTGAAATGCCTCCACATCTGGAAAATAACCTTCATAGAAATGTGTACAGCTATATTTCTTGATACGAACATATTCAAATCATATGTCAAATACATGTTGAATATTTGAATATAGAGCACAGAATATTCAAACATCATAAAAACAGAATTACGATATATACAAAACAATTTGTGCTACAGGCAGTATCAGCACAATTACCTCTTAACATATGAAAAACAGATATTGAATCAAACTATATGCCCATATATAAAAACTATATGTCATATATTTAATATTCATGTTCTTATATTGTCATATATCAAATTTTCACTTGGGGTATTACCTTGCTGTCTTGATGGCTCATCATTGGACTCCCCTCCTTGCTTTAGGAAATTAGCCAGCTCATTGAAAATGAGGTAAAAATCTAAAGCGAAAACGATGGTGGCTATGAAACCAAACACCTGTGAAAAGAACGAAAAGAAGGCATTTGATATGAATGCAGAGAAAAACTACCAGTGGAATAAGAGGTGAGGTTGTTGCACAAAGGCTATGTACTTAATGACACATAAATTATGGTGGTGTAGACTACAGTGAGAAGACAACTTTACCCCAGCAGCCTTAGAGGAGCCGTCCAAATATCTGGACACTGCAATTATGGAGATGATGAAAAAGATAATGGAGGCAGTCACACATCTCATGAAATCCTTTGAGAGAAAAGGAAGAAACGCAATCATTCAGAGGAACAATCTAACTTTATATTATCAATATCTGTTTCGTATAGCACCACAAGTTTGCAACAGCATGTATATCCACTGTAAAGTTATACATTTTATTTGATAATTGCTCTCACCATAAGAGGCCAGAGGAAGCCTTTAAACCTCTCGTTAAATTTGGTGGAGTAAGCGAACAACAAGAAGAGAGCAGCCAGGAACTCCAGCAGTGGGACTGTCACAAAGGCTGCTGCTTTGGACGCCGCAAAACACACAAATGATACAAAGGAGAGAGCCTACGGAAAAAATGAAACATAGAGAGAGAGAAATAACTGGAACATGTAGTGTGTGTTTAGATCAATGAGAAGTTTAAGACAAAACTCAAACTAAAAAGTAGAACCTGTGTTTCCGTTTGTGATCGGAGACAACCAAGAGACACTTTTATTGATTGCATTTGTCTTGAATATATGTGTTAATTTATTTCTAAGTAAACTGCTTGAAGGTGAAGGCAAATTAAAATTTTAATCCAAATGATGAATAAAAGAAAATCTTCTCCCTTCAAGATGTTACACTCAAGATGTTACACTACCCCAAAGCTGCAAGCCAGTGTGAATTACAGCCTCAGGCCCACTTCCTGTTAGGAGATACAGCTGTTGAAAGACAATGTTTATTCACACGGGCTTATACACTGTTACACTGAATCTAAATCATTTTCTCTCTCGCACACAAACACACTTGTGCAAACACAGGGATGTGATAAGGAAAGATGTTTAAATGTGCTTTTGTATGTGCAGCTAATCACAATGCAAGTAAAGTGATCCTGCCTTGTGTTTGACGCTTTCCAGTAGAGGGGATGGACACACCATATCAGGGCAAAAGAAAGCAAGTCCAGACACTGTAATCTCAAACAGGCCGGCCATCTTGTCTTTGTCTCAGTCAGTCATCCCATACCGGCCTGAGGGCAGGAACTCCCCCTGACTGAACCCATACTGCTGCATCTGCTGTGCAAAAAAAAAAAAAATCCTCTGCCTGTGCATTTTAATGTAGCCTACATGATCTCAAAAAAAGAAGAATCACATCACATCAGTAAAAAAAAATGTTTTCATGTTGCTTGACGTAACACTCCACAGTAGCATAGTATGAATAATATGAACTGCAGGGCTGCAAACAATGATCATTCTTATTATTGATTCCTTCCAATGCTTTTTTAAACTAACTTGTTGAATTAAAGAAACTAATAAATGAATTGCTTAGTTGATAAAAATAGTAAAAATACTGAAAATGGCCATCACAATAGCCCAGAGCCCTAAAGCTTGATAACTGATTTTTACGATTAACCGTCAAACTTGTCACTAATCAATTTTCTGTCAAGCAGCTGCATGATTAATCAAAAAAATCATTTCAACTGCTCAGTCTTAGCTGTTATATCTAAACTCTGATATAAAGACACACTGTATTTTTGAGTAGGATCGGGTGGAAAAGAGCTTGTTGTTGCCCCTAAAAAGTATGTGATGAGTCAAATGAGCAGGTATTAAAAGTAGTCAAACTTGGTGTGAGTGTATATGAGGGCCTTTAAACTCAGAAACATCCTAATTCCTGAGGCCAGAAACACATTACACACTCAGCTAAGACATTTGATAACCCTTAGTTGTTCAGTTTATGTCACCTATAGGGAGGAGGAGGCATGCTTTGCACACATTTACCACACCATGTGTCCTATATTAAAGGCTTGTTTACTCTTTGAAAATATTTCACACGCCACAGAAACCTGCTTTTTGTGAACACACTTGTGATTTCACATTCCTTATCAGACCTGTCGCTGGCTGAGACGGAGAAACCTAATGAGAAGTACATACGGGTCTGACACACTGTGTGTAATAATGCATGCTCAGCAGGATATGTGTCTGACTAATACTTCCAAGAATAGTGAAGCCACAAGCTGTTTTCTCTTTGGAAGCCGCACATCGAACAGCTGAGTTCAGTGGCTGTGGGCTGATATAACACTGCCTGTAAGCTCTGCGTTGTATCAAAAATACAATTCAACTCTGATACTTTACTTCAACCACAATAACTTCCCAGCTATGCAAGGAGGTTGCACAATCACAGGGTGCACATGGCACAATGCAGTAAATATACAGTAATTATATGAACAATAATATAACTATGGTTTAATCTAGTGTGCACTCAAATCTAAAATCAAACTAAAATTATATTTTTGATCAAATACAATACAGACGAATGGGAATTTTGGAAAATTCAATGTTTTTTTTATCTTTAAAAAGAAAAGAACATTTACCATGTCACACTATATATCAATTTCATGACATGATAAGAGAGAGGATTATAGTGAGTTACAGAGGCACTGTTTTTGTTGGTGACATTCCTTTCACCTCGTTTGTACTTGGGTCAGAAATCTGAGAGATGAATATCTCCAAACCAGGAAGAAATTAACCCAAACTATTTGGAAAGCTAGATACCACCAAAGGTAAACCAGAAGATGACCCTTTAAACATGAAAGATAAAATGAGTTGAAACTGACAAGACATAAATTATGATATTGTGACTTCTGGACTGCTTCACACTCACACCCACACACACACACACACACACACTAGCAGATGTGGTGAGGCACATGTGTATAGCCTACACCTTGTCTTCATTTCAAACTGTGTCATGTTCTGTGTGAAATAGCAGCTCTACTCTTTTCATTGAACCTTACCTTTCCAACAAGTGTAATACTTTTCAATAATTTTAACAAGAGGCGGCCTTTATTTCAAGACAAGTGGTTCACCTGCCACAAACCCTGCACAGTGTATCACAAATCTCCTATAGCTTTGAGTCTCGTACTTCTCCTGCACAAGTCTAAACCAGGTGTGCACTCTCACCTACATGCAACAGGAAACAGCTGTGCTTTCGACTGTCAGCCGAGGCCAATAGATTTTCAGATGGGTTACAGATGAATTGTAGCCAAGGGGTGAGGATCACAGTCACACTGTAAAGAAGCAGTAAAGATGCTCTGTGTGTGTGTGTGTGTGTGTGTGTGTGTGTGTGTGTGTGTGTGTGTGTGTGTGTGTGTGTGTGTGTCTACGCATCGGTGTGTCTGGTTGTCTGTGTGTACATGCAGGAGGATGCAGAGCTCTACATTCACACACACACAATGAGGACTGTGCTCCAGGCTACATGTTATAGCAAGGGGATGAGAGATGTGACTGTGGGGAAGAGGACTGCTCTCTCACAGCCCAACACGAGCTGAATGTCATGTGACACATAATGTGAGGGTTCATACAAGCAGCCTTCTCTTAGCACAGTTACTGCAAGAAGACCCTTCCTGCAAGTGACACATGATGCTGGTCATCCCGCCCAACCCTCACTACCAACACCATCACACACACAATCTTTCCGTTCCCGGCTTGTTGAAATCCATTTGGACAGTCATTCAAAAAGCTGATACTTGAACATTTGCTGTTTGAATATTTTGTGCACAAACTGATACAACTCGAAGAGACTGTGGGGCCGTTATCTACAGATTATACAGATGACTCTTACCAATGAACAAGCTGGTTTGAAGAGAAGACTCCGTGCGGTGTGCCCATAATCCAGCATAAATGTTTATTCCAAGTTTAAGCCGTTTACCACATGTTGCTATAAAATCTAACTGCTCCTCCCTTTACTAATGGAAACCTTGTGAAAGAATCTGACTGACCTATATTCAAAATGACAGTTCAGCAGCGTGTAGAAGTTATTTGTGAATGTGCATTATTGCTAACAGCATATAAAACCTATACCCAAAACGCGCCTTGACTTTTATGCGCATAGGCGAAACAATGGCACAGTAAAACTTTCATTTGTTACGGAGGAGATTCCTCTGGTCATTTCTTACCACTTCAGCGATCAGCAGCATTCCTTTCCTTGACGAGGCGAACTCTTTGCTCGGAAGAACAGAGAGCAGGACGGTCTGACGCGGCCGATTCGAGTCGGGAGCCTCGATGTCCCCCATTGTTGAAAAAAGATATTAACTCTCCTCAAACTTTGGATTGCCCCAGAACTAACGGAACGGCTTCGAGGCAAAAACAACAACAACAAAAAAAGAAAAGATATGTGGAGGCGTGAGGCTTCTCGGAGGTGGAAACGGAAACAATGACAGCGCGGAAACGCAGCGCGAGCTCCCAAAAGCGCAACATCTGCTTTCTCCAGATGTGAAATGCGATGCCCCCAGCTGCATGCAACACAATCACTCAACCACTCAAGTGGAAATATCCAACTCATGATGTCACAGGACAAAGACAAAAAAAAAAAAAAACTTTATTGACCCTTGCTGTTTATTTATGTCAATTAAAAAAGAAAACTAACATTTTACCTATAAGTCACAGCATCATCCTATTTTAAATTACAACTGGAATCTTAAATATGTTGAAAACTTCTACAACCTTTGAAGTGGTGAAACATATTGTACAGTACAGTTTTACAGTAAGTTCAGTCATTCAACGACGTCACAACTCATGGGAAAATCATCAGTGGTGGGGGGATTTGAATTTGTTAATACCCACATAGCATACTGCATTCATTTACTGTAATTGATTGATTCATTTGTTGTCTTGATTCTGGGTGTCACTTCTTGGCCTGTTGAACGTGATGTCCCTGAAAAGTGTGTAGCTGTCCATACAGAGCAGAGCAGCTGAGATGAAACCAACTATCTGCAAACAGAGCAGAGCCAAAAATAAATGCATTAGCCTAGACACAACACACAGGGTCCAGTGTATGTGTATGTGTACAGCCTATTACTCACATTGTGGGGATTTAACTTCCCTTTGGAGACAATAAGCAAGAGCCCATGAAGAAAATCATAAAATCTCAGGTATGAGACTTGGTTTGAGGTTAAGGCATGGTTGGGTTATGGTTATGGTTATGGTTAGGGCAAGCAGAGGTTAAGGTTAGGGTAAGTCTGCAGGAAATTAACTTAAGTCAGTGTTATATTCCTCTGGAGGGGTGGAAAATGTATGTGTGAGAGAGAGAGAGAAAGAGAAAGGGGGCATTTGGGGCATCTAGGCCTAAATCTTCAAAAGAACTTCATATTATTGGGCTACAGCACAGCACATGTACACAGATAAAAGCAATGTTTATTGACAGTGTATTGAGGAAAACTAAAATACATATGAATCAAAATTGGCCCACACAAAGGAGATTGTGATTATAGACTAAAGAAATATTCAAGAAACACTCCTCACCCCTCCAACCAGTGTTCCTGTGAAAGTGTACGTGATTACAGCCATCAGGCTCAAGACAACAAAGTAGACTGCTGCAAAGACTGAATTGAAAAGGTCCTGAAGGGAAGAAAAGAGAAGAACTTCAAAATGCAACACGCACAGCAGTTTTTTCTCATCTCACAAAAAAAAAACCTATGATGCTCATGTTGATATTATAATGTTGTGCCGTGAAACATCACCCACAACGAGAGGCCAAAAGAAGAAGGTCAGCCTCTTGTTGAGTTTGAGCATGTACAGCAACAGCAGCAATGTGGTGATCAGAAACTCCAGCACTGTGGCTGCAATGTAATTTGGTCTGGATCCTACGGTGAAACACACAAATGCCACAAACAGAGTCGCCTAAAACAGAAAAAAAGGACACAACACCAAGAAAAAAAAAATGTTACTGCATAAATGGGAAATATAAATTGAACTGTCATACAATGACTTGAAGTCCATAAGATTCATTTCTGTTCTTTACTCAACACATTGCAGTTCCTGTAGGGAAAGAGGAACTGGTCATCAGCTCTGAATTACTGTTAGTTTCCACATCACATTTTCTTTATACAAACAACTGATTCAGTTTCTCCTCTAGCCTCTACAGCGCTCTAGGTATGTTAATGTGAGGCACTGCCATCAACAAACTAGCTCTAGTAACATTGTTAACATGACAAACTCGTGACTCTTCTTTGTTATTGCTCCTTTCACATGTGTACAGGACATGGCCAACACCTCTTAGCTGTTTCAGTGTAAATCTGCAGCAAAGCGCTAAATGTTCAAAGTCCTGATGTTGTGCAATATCTCACCATCTCTGCTGTTTTCAGGATCCCCCTCTTGGATTTGAGAAAAGCTGTGTCCACGTCCATGGATGTTACCTTACTGTGATCTGCCGACATGATGGTGTAATATCATTTGCAAAACGAAGCTCACCCTGTTTCCTGAAACGCTATAACATTGAGCTGTACAGGAAATGACTGTTAGTAAGAATAGTAAAAATGCACAATGTTTTCACACCAGCCCACACGCAACACTTCTACTGAAAAAGCTGAACAAGGCATAAAATAAATCAATATGTGCTCTTTCTTTTTTTTACAGGGTAATATACACAGAGACATAGAGTAATCATCATGGGCATGTCAGCAAAGTCTCTAAATGTTGCACTAAAATAAATTATTAGAGGTTTAATGTTTACTTGTTGAATTCATTGTGAAATTATGTGCAGATTGTCAGATATTTTAAGACCCATGAGCAGAACTACAGTAAATCTGTTAATAACAATATATTTTTTCACGTGTTTACATGGACAAAAAAAGTGAAATATGAACACACCAAATCTATGGCAGATTCTTTTCTTAACTTACAGCAGCTCCAAATATAGTCATGATACAATGCAAATAAAAATAACTTTTTATTAAAAACCACATTTTGCAATGTGCATCTAAAAAGATACAGAATTAATGCAATAATCCAACTTGGTACAATTTATTACTTAAAGCATGATCAAAATAAATATATTTCCCTATATGCTTTACATCACTAAATAAAGTCACTTAATCCACTGGTTGATTGTTGATGCAGTGCTGTTCCAGAACAGGTAGAACTTCTGCTGGCTCATTAAAATCAGAGCTTTACAAGTTATTTGCATAATCAGTGTAATGCTGTTGCACCAACACAATTCCCTTGGTTTCAGTCAATGTTCCCTTCAACATTGTACATAAACCATTTTACAAAGAATTCAAAAAAATGTACTTTTATATGATAAGGTTGTTTGTTGAAAGGCACATCTGTAGGCTTTGCTTCCTCATCCTCGTGTCTGGCTCCGCAGTTTTGCTCTCAGTGTGGCCAGTCGCACTTCAACGGCTCAGACTTGGGCACTTTGAGGCACTTTCCTAACTTCTCACAGCCTGCAGGGGCCCAGTTCTGCAACAGAGAGCAGCCATCACAGTAAGCACAAGAATATGAATTTAACAAAGATATTATTTAATTACAATAAGATTTATTACTGTCTTGTATGAGTTTAGCTTTTTGTCAGAAAAGCATAAGATCATTTTTGTGTCCTGCCCTGAGGGTCTTAGGCTGTTAGTTGGCACTATTTCTTTATATCTGGTTCATTTCTAAGTCTTTTTCCTCAAGCTTAGCAAACATATCCTGTGTAATTTAACAAACACTGACCTGTCATGCCATTTGTCTCAGGTTTATCACAGGAAAAGGCTTATTTTATTTGCAGAATAATTGTCTTTTAACCTTTATTTTTCAAATATGTATCTGGTCACATTATTTTTAGAACTTAGTGCTATAGAGCAGTCCAATGTCATTTGGTCAATTTAATCTGCATTTACTAATAAAACTATCCCTTCCTCATTAGTTGATGATATCACAGACTAAGTTTCACACATAATATTTTTCAGTATAAATTCCAGACTTAAAAAAAACATCTTGAAAATACCAAATATTAAATGAAACAAATTTCAGTTTCATTTAAATTCAAATGATGCCTTGTTCTGAAAAACCATGCAACAGCTGCCTCCTTCACGGACAACAAGTGTGACCCACATTAGCATGACAAAAGGACAAGACAGTACATTACAGGACAACACACAAACATGGCTCATTCTAACCCTATTTAAAACTGTGTTTATTTTATTCGTCACAAGGGGGCAGTGCTACAACACAAATAAATCCAGAGCAGTGTCGATCACAGTCCTTGGTGTTTGGGGAGACAAAGCCACAGCTCAGATCAGTTCAGCTGCTCTAAAATAATCCAGGAAAAAAAAGGTCCAGATTGCAGTGATAATTCAAGATTCCCCTCAAATATGATACACGTTGTAGAGCAAGTTATTAACAATGATAAATACTGTAAATATGAAAATTAAAAACTCAATCTGTTGAAGTGGAGCATTAATAGTCTACAGGCTCAATGTAGACTGAGAACAGATAGGAACTTTGAAAAGATCTCTATTCAAAGACTTTTATTGATCTTACTTTTTTTTTTTCATAACGGCTTCGTCAATTTCTCTAATGTATTCATTCATCTGATGTACAAATGTGATGGAGGGAGCAGAGAGATGAGGTGCAAATATGCCTGGTTTTGACGGCTGCTGGCCCCAAAAAAAAACAAAAACACATGCAGTATCTGCTTTGGTCCAGTGGCTCTGGATACGGTGGGTAAAGAGTTAGCTGCATCATGAAAGTAACAGATAAACTTATTTATGGCATGTAAATCTCACCATCACTGCCACATCACACATATTGAGCTGAGGAATACCGGGTACCAGCGTCTTCTTATGCTGCTCTACAACTGGAGAGATCCCGCTCAGCACATTCTGGTACTCCTTAGTCAAAACACTGCAAACACATACAACAGCAGACATGGTCAGCGGGTCCACAAATAACAATGAGTTTCATTATCTATTATCTGACTTTTTCTTTTTAATAAAATGTCAAAAACTTGTGAAAAAATGTCCATCAAAATTTCCCAGAACCTAAGGTGTCGTCTTCAGATGTCGTGTTTTGCCTGACCAGAAGTCCAAAACCCTGTGAATTTTATTTTACGATGACAGATGACAAAGAAAGGCGGCAAAATTCTCATTTTAGAAGGGACAAGCAGCGGATGTTTGGCATTTTTTGCTTGATCGTGACTGAAGCGATGAATTGTTTTTTTCAAAATAACTGATTATTCAATCAAATACTGGACTGATCGAGTGATGCTTTCGATGCTAATGTTCAGCATATAGAAAGCCTTACTACCTGAATTAAAGACAGACATCAGAATGAATAGAATCAATAACAAAGATGGCACTGAAGAAGTCTGAAACCATCTATTGGTCACTTACACATAAAACCACATACAGGTCCGGCCCTATATGTTAATGCAGAGTGCACACTCACACTGACACAAACATGCCCAGTCTGTTTTTATTCTGACTCAGTTTTGTCCATTTGTTTCAGCTGTTTCACTATCAACTGAAAAGCCTTTTTGTTGAAGAGTGTTGCAGTGAATACATGTATCCAGTAATAAAACAACACAGCGTTCTGCATGTTTAATTCATTATATTACATTGGTGATGCTTTAGCTTTTCAACAACAAAAACATAAACAGGCTGTCCACTCAGGCACCCTTTGGGAGAGTGCACTCAGCAGGGTGAACTATGTAACCCTTATCCCATCCCCTGTCTCTCAATTACTGCTGTTGGACACCAGTGAGCCCGAGCACCTCTGTGCATTATTATATTCAGTGTGTAAAACACAGGGGCCCTGAAGGCTTTCAAAGGAACGCTGCTCTCAATAGGACCTGTAGGGTTAATGGGCTGTGTGTACACGTGTGTGTGTGTGTGTGTGTGTGTGTGTATCTGTGTGTGTTGGGGGAGTGGGCGTCTGGTGGCGTGACACACAGATAGACAAATATCAGCAGTGCAATTACACCCTTGATACACTCGCCGGCAGCACCTGTGCCAGCCTTCCATCCTCCCTCCACTGCAAACCCAGCCCTCTGATTGGCCCCTAGGGAACATGTGCATGTGTGTGAGGTGAAGTGTCAATTAGAGTAATAACCCCAGGCTCTGTCCAGCTCACACCTACCCTCCCTCTTAGATCTCCCACAGGGCAGCAAGGCTTCCTCCATCAACGAGCACCTGCTCCTTTTCCTTGATACTCTCAGTCTTTACTTTCCCCTGCAATTACTCGACTGGTAGTGCACTGGCTGCAATTAGTCTCTCTCCTTGTGTGCCACATTCGTCATAAGCCAACTATCTTCGCATTGTGTGACCCTCGCTGATAGGGATAAACCGGATTACTCCTTTCAGTAAAAAAAAAAAAAAAAATCAGACATTCAGATTAAATTGCTTCAGCTATCTAAAATCACAAATTCTGCTTTCGCCCGATCCCGATCAGCAAGAGGGATATTTCATTCTCCTCCTATCTGTGCCCACTACTGATTGTTGCGATTCATTTTCATGATAAGTGATGAAGCAACTTAACAGAAGCAAATGTAAGGGAGATTTATCAGACTGCTGTAAGTATTCCACTTTTCTATACAAGTCTGCAAGAAAAGCATGCCACGTCCTGAGAAACTTGCATAAGACGCAAAGTTTTCTATTGTTTTGTGTATGCACTGAAAATCTTACAGCGCAGACCTCTAAATCAAAAACTAATAATATCATTTGTTTATGCCTCCTCTGCAAACAAATAATGAAAAGTCAGAGTCAGCACACCTCATTATCATGATTATAACCCTTAGCTTACTGGTGTAGAGGCAAAATCTGGAATAATAAGCAGGCTGTATGCAAATTGAGTCTTTTGATTTATAATGTATGGCACCCAAGGGGGATGGGGGCATTGCTCAGGTGTGTCACCACTCTGATTACTGATTCATAACACTATTGCTGGAACACACACACACACACACACACACACACACACACACACATACACACACACACACAAAATCACAAACCAACAACCACACAGTAGCAGAAGGTGGGGGAATTGAGGAGACAATCAAATACATCTGTCCTGCCTACCCCTCCCCTCCACCATCTTCTCCACCCCGGTGGAAATTGAGCACTTCAGTGAGGACTATTGATTGGGGACACAAGAGCATGGTGGCAGGCAGCAGATGAGGCCAGACTGTGCGGGGCTGCCTGCAGTGTTAGGGCTGGGACTACGGTCTGGATGGCTGGGGCTCCGGGGACGTGAGCTGAGGTAGGTGGTGAGAAAAGGAGGATGTGTTAACCTCAAGGACCTAGGTCACAGAGACGGGGGGCAAAGTGGAAGGCGGGAAAAGGCTGAGGATAAATCCGGTGTGGACCGAAACTCACTGAGGTAGGTAGATGGCAGACCTGTGTTTCATCCAAGACAGATGGACCACCAACACAGGCCCTGTCATCCTCTAACTCTGCTATACCAGTCACATTTGTCTGAAACAATGGCAGCTAGGCCTCTGGTTGTATCCACCAGTTCAAAG